TTCTAGATTTTCTGAAATTCCGCTCCGTAGAATTTTTTAAAAATCTTTGTGCATTTTCCTTTTCAAGTGCCAAAAGCAATCACTGAAAAAAATCACGGTCTCACGGGGTTAGTTTTAGAATTATTTAAGCCACAAGCTAAAAAATGCGTCTAAATAAGCCTATGAAAGCGTTGCCATGGAAACTGCTAGTGACGAAATGACACCTGTTTTTGGATAACCAATGATTATATAATTCAACCCCGTAAAGTGTTCAACTGGCCTTGGTCAGCCTTTCTGTTGTATTCTTTCAAAGTTACAAACCATCAAAAAGATGAAAACCGGTACGAGCCACCTTAATTAGGAATGCATAGCAGTATCAGTGATACATACATAAAATTGTTTCCACAAACCTTCTCCATCCCCTGTCGATGAGATCTTGGTAATCCAAACTAGTCATCGTGTGGGCCCACATACCTTAAAGCAAAGTGTAGGGAAATCTTTAAACTTCTCTTCACAGAGAAGTTTCGATTCTCCAACTGAAACTTTGGAGAATAGACGGACTATCGAACGTGATGTGATCGCCGCGACGAAAAATATGTTTAATCAGGTATGCGATGCATTGATTACCTACCATGTGAGTAGTTGGTATTAGAGCTTCCACAATAGCCACAACGATGACCAGAATCACCCCCAAAATATTCAACAATGCTGTGGCCCGCCATCTCTGGGTGACGAAACGTTGCGGCTTAGCCCAAGAAAGGTTAGAATGAATGAATGAGGTATACGAAAGAGTAGGGTATATGACGTAACCGCAGTGCAACTTGCGACTCCGCGGGCCAAGTTATAGCTCATATCGTGGCTCAACTTAGCGTGCCCATGGAAAAAGCTAAGGCGTCGAGGAAGAGTGGTCTGTAAAAGCACAATATGTCGGATTTTGGCTTTTCTTCGTCATCATCTTCGAGTTCCTCAAGTGGAATGAATGGCACTCAACGAGCTGAACTGATGGATCAAGTCAAAAGTCAGCTTTTAGTAGCAACCTTACAAGAATTACTTTCGGTAAGAAACAGATTAGAGTCGTATGGAGGGAACCCTTAACGCAACATGTGCGCTGAGGCACAGCTTAATATTCTTAACGCCCATTTTACGTTTTAATTTATATCCGAAATTTCAATATATCTGAAGGTATAGTTTTTTGTTCATGGTTGCCGAGAGCAGTTGTCCGTTTCAAAGGGTCATTGAAAGATGACGAAACTTGGGGTCTTTTGACTGCTACTCCAAAGTACATGAAAATTGTTGGTATAAAACTTTCCAGTGAAAGACATGACTGAATAGAGAAGCGCAAAGGAGAAATAAGTTGTCTTGTATTCTTTAGTTGCTCTGGAATAAAAGCACTGTTAAAATCAGGGCTTATTACGTGACGTCACAAAATACGCTGAATTATTGACTGACACATCTTGATTAGTCCTGACTCACGAACTATTGTAGAAAAGATGCCCAGATGACCTGGCCATACACAACTTTTATTTCCTTACTTCATAAAACAAATAAGTTCTATGTTGCTGTGTGGCTGTCCCTGAACAGATCACATACATTGTGTAATGTTAAAATGAGTTGGAACATCAGTGACACCTGTGGCTGCACTTAATGTGCGACAATTTGTTCTTATCACATTTTGGCCTCATCAGTAATATCTATTAATATTTAAAAGACTCACAGTAACCTGAAATCTACAGTGTCTTTGTGCATAAGATCACATCTACTAACCCTGTGGTTAGTTGACCCTTTAATCCTGAACTAGAAGGGGCTAATGTAGATGCATGTTACTTCAGATTCTGATGGAAAAATTCAAATAGTACATCCACTCTTGCAAAAAAATTCCAACTATTATCACAGTATACACTTTTGAATGCTTCAGAAGTGTATTATTATTATTATTATTATTATTATTATTATTATTATTCAGGGTTCGACACTTGGCTACCTGCATTACTAGCCACCAGGGCTAGTGATTTCTAAAATTTACTAGCCCGAAACACAACTTGGTAGCCCCGATCAATTTCCCCTAAGGTCTACCTCAACCCCAAACATGCAAACCTTCCTCTAAACTTATTGGCAAAGTCTTTCAAAATGATAAAGAATGGTGTTTTTTCTTTCGTTGTGATAACATAATGTGCTATTTAAGGATAAAGCTAAGTAAATTTCAAGTGCGAGGCAATGTGCAACATTGGTAGGGAGAAGACTGGGGAAGACACTGACCATCAAGTGCAGAGTCTGGGATCTAGTGATGTTTACAATCGACACGCAAGACAAAAAAAGATGCCAGAAGATGAAAGATTTATGCCTTCCTATTTAAATTCAAGGGTGGGTGTGCAGCTCCAACTAGGAGCCCGAGTATTTAATGCTGTCCGACAAAGTTACACAGAGTAGTAAACAACTAGTCATCACCTCTCGGGCTAAAATGTTTTGTGTGCCACTGCCTGATATGAACACCCAAAAAACCCAATGGGTAAAATGGGAACATATTCCCCATCCAAATGCAGGCGCACTGACCTCTGGGGGTTAGAGGTAAAACAGCTTAATTACATGCAAGATAAAATTTAACATAAAACTAGAAAAGTTCGAGAGCTGAGATGAATACATCACAATTGTCAAACCTTAAGTACGCCATACAACAAAAGACTCAATTAACACCATAGCGACCCACGTGCTAACATACCAATAGGAAAATATTTACATTTTTTGTCACTGCCATTTACAGTTTAGCTCTGCCGAATGTAAATACATTTCTTTATTGTTATTATCATTACAATTTAAACTTTGTTGATTTTTTTTTTAATCAACTGTGAGCTTCAAGTAAACTAATTACAAATAATTTCTTTCAATTTTTCTACTAGCCAGCGGGCTATTAAATGAGGTTTTTTACTAGCCCGACCAAATTTTTACTAGCCTCATTATCATCATTTTACCATAAAAATGCTAGCGGGCTAGCGGAGATGTGGAACCCTGTTATTATTATGACTATTATTATTATTTGGGAGGATCAGGAGATATGATCTATGTTTTGGAGACTTGTTGGGCAATCTGCCCATTTTGTGCTTCTGTTTTGCTAGGCAACAAGGCTGGTCTTGGTTTATCAAGAATTGTCTTATTCCTTTCATATAAGAAATTTCTGCACAGAAACTGAACATCTTGGATCTGATGGCTATAAAATTTACTTATTGGAAGGCTGTTCATATCTGATTTTTCTGTTTGTCTTTTATTAGAAAATGTCAGAAAAATGCTTCAAAAAGTGCATTTACAAACCAGGAGCAAAGCTTGATAATTCTGAACAGGTAAGGGAAACTTTATGTTTAGCATTAGATAACTGAAATAACTACCCCTTAGCAAACAACATGAGCTGCAGTTACATTTGACCACTTGACAACTGTCAAGTACAAGGTTTGTGAGGAAAAATATTAATAGTAATTAACATTTTTCCTCACATTATCATCATCATTGTTTTTACAGAATGATATTTTACCAGAAGAATGCCATAATACTTACAATACATGCCCTGAAAATGTGTTCTATTGCTTAAATATTGCAACTGGGAACCAAGTGAAAGTTAAATGGATCTCTGTTTTTACCTTTCAGAAATGTATATCTTCATGTATGGATCGATACATGGATGCTTGGAATATTGTGTCAAAAACCTACCAGAACAGACTAATGAAGGAACATTCCAATGCAGGAAATTTTAATTGAAGAGACTTGCCTGACCTTATTTACTTGTACTGCTTGGAATATTGTGTCAAAAATCTACCAGAATAGATTAATGAAGGAATATCCCCATGCAGAAAATTTTGAGTTAAAAAAACGTACCTGACCTGACCCTATTTACTTGTACTGATTTACCTTGTTAGTTGTTACTGAACTCATATGATGCATATTGCATCAACTAATTTTTTTTTTTTCATATTCAAGTTGGATCAGCTGTCATTTAACTTATGAAGCATTGCTAACTCAGACACTATGGGAGGAATTAAGACAAATTTTTCATGGGGAAGATAGTTTATTATGGTATTGTTAGTTTATGCACAAAGTCAAAAGCTAAAACAATGTTTTAATCAAACCAACAGTATACCTAGAGGTGGTGAAAACCCCAAACTGTGTCCTTCCTCTTTCTTGAGGATATACTGTACGAGTATACTACCTCTTTATAAAGAAACCAGACCTTATTGGGTTCAAAGCTTAATAGGTCACTTAATAGAGATAGCATTCATCTTAAGTTCCACAGGTTTTTACCTCAATGTGTTTGAGCAAATATTTTCTCCATTCACCCTTGCATGTACATAAACCTTGAAAAGACAACACCTACATCTTATAGCATTAGCCTTCTGTGAGATGTTATTTTCTCTTGTCTCAGAATCTTAGACCAAGTGAAAAGCTTATAAAGAATGTCTATATGGAAGGCTATGTCATTCTGCCAAGATGTCAGATTCTGTTCTGCTAACTGAGGGGGACATGGGGGGTTCTGAATACTGCAACACCACAAACAAAATAGAACAGTCACTTGTGAAGGTGTAGTCTGATCGTCCGGGTGAGTGTAGTCCTGAGAAGGACTGTTGTCGGTGGTAGTGACTGACGTTTCGACAACCTGTGCGGAAGTCATCATCAGAGTCAAGTGAATGATTGTTGTCAGTAGAATGTTCTTATTCCAGTTCGTGTGAAATGATCGGTTGGTTTTGCCGTGATGTTATTGGCTGTAAGACTCAAGTGACGTAAGTCGGTCGTGATTGGTCTGTTTCGATCTGTCGGTAAAGTTAGGTCGTTCTTTTTCGGTCGTTTGTGATGTTTATGTCGTGAATGAGTCGTTTGTATGGAGCGGGTAGTTGTTGACATCTGTTTAGGGGAGTCTGTTCTAAGTTAGTAAACCAGCTTTCCAGAGTCAGTCGTTGAAAATAGTCAGTGCTGTAGGTTAGGCATTGCGCAGAGTCCCAGTCAATGTTGTGGTTGGTAAGTCGATGGTGTTCAGCAATGTGATTGCTGACATCACCTTTCCTCGTCGCCCGTCTGTGTTCAGTCAGTCTTGTTGTGAGGTTTCTGCCAGTCTCACCGATGTAGGAGGCTTGGCAGTCGGAACAATTGATCTTATAAATCGTTCCCTGTCTGTTCCTCGGTTCGTCTTTGTCTTTAACGTTGGTTAGTAACTGACGTAGTGTGGTGATGGGTTTGTGGGCGACGCGGATATTGAAGGGTAGTAAGATGCGCGAGATGTTTTCAGACATGCCTTTTATGTACGGTATGGTTGCTGTAGTCGTAGGGGTTGCGGTGTCGTTTGTTTCGGTAGTGGTAGTGGGTCGGTGAGTGTTTCGTCGGATGAAGTCGTTGTTGTAGTTGTTCTTCGTAAAAACACGGTGAAGGTATTTGTTCTCGTCGGATAAGCTGTCTGTCGAGTC